TTTGCTAATAAATATATTGTTAGAGGAAAGTTCTGTGTCTGTGGTCGCTGTGAGTATCCATGACGTCACAACACGATTATACGTTGTTCCAGAAACCATTTATGTTTCAAACACTTTTGATTTCATTTCAATTAATTTCGTCACAAAACAGCAAAAAGTAGTTGTTTAAAATACAAGATATAACAGCTTATATTTTCTCGCATTATTTTTAACTTTGCAATTTTCGAAAATTCAGAGTTCAAGCAAAATGGGATCTGTGCTATTTTTAAGCCTCCTTTCATATATTCGAGGGGAAAGAATAAAGTAGTAACATGAAGCCGTTTTTCAGAATTTTAAAAAATAAATTTCATCAACGTCAAGTGAAAATTACGCAATAACTACTACAAAAATATCCCATCAACAACTTTGACCTTTACAATACTACTTTTTTTTAATTTTCTAAAATATAGAAAATTTGCAGAAAACAGAACCGATGCCACTTTTAAGAGTCTAATGTGAGGAAAACATTTAAAGAAAATATTTGGATTCGGTTTACAGAAAATAACTGTTTGAAAAATACCAGTAGTTCTGGCAAGAATACACAAAAATTACCCGTAATTTTGGAAAAGGGTGCATGACCTTATTTAAAAACCTAAATATTCAAAAGTATATGTTATTCAGAAAAAAGATATGTCTTCAGTATTATAGTTATAGTATAGTTTTTTTGCCGCAATATGACGATACTTTCTCTTCACAACGTAAGTAGCTAATATTGCGAAATGTATCATAAAGCATTCTTCGGCTTCAGAATCCCTACCTCACCCTTTTACAATAGATAGTTCAATAAATAATAAATATACCAACAAAGCGAGGTTAGAAACATTTGTAAATTAGGAAGGTTCGCTCCCTACTAATTCCATATTATTATTTATTTGCATTAGTAAACGAATTACAGATTTGATTTTATTATTTTGCTAGCGAAATAACAACTCACACTCCCGTCTTCTACCGCGACTAAGAGAAGGAGAGTTCAACAAAACGCGCGCTTATTTAAGCTCCATTATGAGAAAAAGAAAATTAAGGGGCCATTTTTGCGTTTGTTCAATGAATGAGGGAAAATGATCTAAATTAGTTGGCGGTGATTGCACCAAAACTTGAATTACACGATATTTTAAATAGTTGACGTTCATTCCTTTGTAATACTCTAAAATTGTACAGAACGAATGTTAGTAATGCTTTAAATATTCATTTTAAAGTAAATATTATTGGTATCTAATTGTATATGTTGTATATTATAATCACTAATTTGTAGAAACAGTTATAAAAAAAATATTTATTAAAAATTGTTTAAGCCATCGTCGAGAAGTAAGTGTTAAATGTTATTTTCAATTTTTGAATACATATATATTAATTGAAATTTATTTTTTCATTGTTTCAGAACATTGAATATCACTTCAGTGGTCCGTGATAATCATAATTGGTTAAAGTCTTGGTACTTTGGTTACTTCGGGAGGAATGTACTTTCATCAAATGGTGAGTTCAATCGAATTACTATTTGTTAAATTCAGCATTTTTCGTTTGTTTTTTCTTACTGGAATATTCATGTAAACAAATGTTATTCTAAAGATTCGTTTCGTCGGGCTGGATTAAAAAATATGACATAAATCAGGTAGATTATAATTACCTTTTTCACGCTGATTCGGATTTTGCACATCAATATAGTGAAAAATGAGACGTGTTCTCTCTTCCTTAATAAGAACTTCACCATGCTCCGTTCCTAAACATTCACTCCGCGTCCTGCGGTGTTCATCTTTTGCCTTTGCGGGAGGCTCGTGATCTCTATCAAAAAGAACTGTAGAAAAGGTACGTCGACACCAGAACGACTAAGCAACAAAACCATTAAAACATCGACTTTTTCTTCCATTCTCTCATAAGTTTTTTTTTCATCCTCTAGAATTGTCATCTGGGGATGAAGTGCTTTGAAGACAAATCCAAGGTTGACTAGGACGTTTAATTGTCATGCAACCTTTGTAAATGAGAAATGATTGTTAGTGGGGAACGGATAAGAAATGAGGAAACTGAGAGATGCCCACGAACCCACTCTGCATCAAGTCTCACAAGAATTCGCCGATAGAATCTCTCTCAGGACCGGCAAAAGTGGCTCAGGACAACAGGACTCTTACAGGGAGGTTCTAGGGTTCGAGTCCCGACGGTGTCAAAATTTTCAATACTAGCTGCAGAGCTAGATCGAATTCAGCCGCCGAGTGGAGGAGAATTCGAGCGGCCGGCTGCTCTGATCGGTAGTTTTGTGAGGTTTCTCCGGTCAATACCAGACGAATGCCCTTACACACGGGCCACGGACCGCGCTCTGTCTTCCCCTTCCTTGTCCTATCCTCACCCCTTACTTACACACTCTTGCTCACATACACTACACTACCACGCATGTCGGGAGACCTGTTTGTTCAGATCTTTTCTCGGCTGGGGCGGAGCACCTCTGGTGGGAAATACATGGTAGGGGAAAGTCCCGCAAGCCGACATGGATTGGCGCAGGATCTCGCCAGCCAGTAGTTGAATGTGGCCGGCAACTCTCGCGATAAACACTCACTCCACTTATGGGAATAATTACCTTAGCCGTTGACGCGACAGGAATTATTTTCAATCAATCAACGCCTCTCTGGAGGAGGGTTAACATTCCAATAAATATTTCTTTTGCCCCTAAAGACCGCTTGAAATAACTTCTCGGCATTTCCATATTTTCTCCATTCTTTCTTTCTTTCATTTTATCAGTTTATTTCTTTGGTTCGTTTGTTATTCTTTCTTAGTTTTCCTGCCATTTTTTCTTACGATTTCGGTTTAGAGATCTCTTAGAGCTCTTTCCAATAATGCACTTGTCGTCGATTCTTTTCCCTCGAAGTCCTTTCTATTTTTCTTTAATAATTCCATTTCATGTATATTATCTTTGAACCAGTAATTTAAATCTTCATGGAATGCTACTACACTCCCCGTAATTTTTATACAAGTTACAAACATACATATTGTTTGGGCAAATGTGTCAACATTTCATGTGTGTTCATTGCCATATGTTTCATTGTATTGTTTCGGAACGGATCAAATATGCATGAGAGAAATTATGCGGTGGATACAGAGGAGATTAGCAACAGAAATTGCCAAAAGAATAAAATAGATAACAAAAAAATTGGAAAAAGTTATATAATAATAAAAAATTCGTGTGTGATGTGATCAATTAAAGAATTCCTCGTATATTCCCAGTTAAATTTTAATATTTTTTGTGCTCGAATATTTCTCTTTTGTATTAATATATCTCTGTAATCAATCTAGTCTATTATCTAGTCTTTTAGATTTAGATCATCGGTAAATGTTTCGCACGGTTTGCTTCATTCCACAAATTCATTTCAATTATTGCGTATAGCACCAGATGAGGAAAAAATCTTGACGAAAATGTTACTGGTGAATTCTGTAGTTGAACGATGGACCGTATAAAGGGGAGTATACTGTACCTGAAGCTGGCTGCCGCTGGCCACCCCTGCGTTTGACGAATGCTCTCGACCGGGGGGCCGGGAGCCGCGGACTGGGGGCGGGGGCGGGGTTGTGGGGGACGGAGCCAGCAGCAGACGAGGAGGCGGTGGAGTTGGTGGCGGAGGAGGCGGAGGGTGCACCGTGATATGCGAATCAGCACCGGTATGCGGACAATTTTCAATGTTACCAACCTCCGCTGGCTGCCGCCGGCATCGGTGGAGGTATTTCGTGCAATCTGTAAACCCACACCCACACAGGCGCCGCCGCCGCCACCGCCACCACCACCGCCGCCGCCACCGTCCCTAGTCTCCCCACACGCGCGCGCGCGAGTGCCGTCTCCCCCCTCTCGCTCCCTCCAGCCTCCCCCGCGAGCGCCCCCTTCCGGAAAGTTGCTCTCGCGTGGCGTTCGTTCGCGGCGCCGCCGCCGCGCGGCGCTGCAGTCTACGTCCGCGTGCCAGCGCCTGCTCCCGCTCATGGGCGCCTGGTACCGCAGCCGGACGCCGGAGGGAGAAAAATGGACGAATGAAAGGTCTATTGATTTATTTGCGACGAAAAACAATTGCCTCCGCGCAACGCTGTGGGGAGCAATAAAGGGTTGATTATCCACATGTAAACGTGGATTACTCTTTTCAGGCGGAAGAGGCCCGCTGACTTGGCAGAATGGAGGATCAAGATGGCGGACGCCTGCGTGGGAGTAATAACAGGGGGATGCGAGACGTTTAAAATTTGAAACGATGTGACAGAGTCAAGTTTTATGTAAAGAATGATTACACATTGAATAGTCGTTGCAGCCAGTTTTATACTGAACTGTATCTACTTTTAGCAGACGTCGTGACAAGTACAGACTGTGCCAAAGATTGCTATACGATTCTGGCGGAACCCATAGATATCACAGCCACGCATTAAAAAACACACTTTTGAAGGTTGTCGTATTTTTACCTAAACATATGATATACAACAGTTATATTTTCGTTTATAAATAGAGTGCTAATATTTTTAAACACTTATTTTTAGGTTGATTAGTCGTACTCTAGATATCACAGTTCGATCGTTAAGAATAATTTGGTACGATACACTTTCGGGGGAAAACGACAATACACATACGCACTATATAGTACAATATTAATGGATTACGATGAACAATGTTTAAAAATTTGGATATTATATTTATAATAGTATATTTATTATACGAATATTATATTTATGATACTACTGTAAATTTATAATAATTGAGGTAACTAACACGAGATAAAACTTCTTTTCACAAGTACAAACAAAACGTTTTTAAGAAATGTAATGACCAATGATAAATTTGTCCAATTCTCAGCGTAGGGGCTCGCCGCAACGGCACATGTCAAATGCACTGAAATGGTTATTCCCTTCTCTCAAAACTGAACAAAGTCAGTACAGTCAGTCACAGTCAGCTGTGATTAACCAAACCGCCATCATTACTGCCATAGTTTCTGTTACATGTATTTTATGACATGTGGAATCGATATTGGACAAAGAGCAGTGTTGCACAGACAGGCATGTAAACTTTCTGTTTATACGTTAAAAACAGAAACATTTGTACCGCTATTATTATATATAGTTATCACTGCCCTTATATGAAAAGAGATATAAATAATTCAGGTATGATCGGAAATGTATTCAATAAAATCATTAGGAGAGATACGCAACAGAATTTTGAGAGATGGAACAAACGGATGCTAGAGTTAATTGGTAATGTTCTTCTCATTAGCTACAAACCATTGCAATTGAAAAGCCATAGACTAAATATATAACTCGTTTGATGGATTTAATTGTATCACTGAACTTGACCCTGATGTCGACTGCGTTTCCAGGTACTTCCAGGTACAGAAATATGGAGATGGCCGACTTTTCGCTTAGGAACAATAATTATATTCCTGCATCAAACTTTCCAAACCGGTATCTCTGCTATTTAAGTGATTAAATAAATAAAATCTCAAAGCGTCTGGACTATAGCAGCTGGAACCAACACTTAAATACTGAAGCTTCGAGGCCTCTGTAACAGGTCTCCATTCATTTCAACCCGCGTGGTAGCCCAAGCTGGCTTAGCCACTTCTCGGGCCCCTACCGTAATCAGGCGAGTAAAGCTTACTCGAGTCAACCGCAAATAGACTTTGGAGACCCCCTAATTTTCTCCACGAGTAGATTGTTTCCGGGTAACTGGTTTGGGCGAAAGCTGATTTTTTCGGCAAACACATTAAAGACTGAAATGCGCTTAGTACCCCCCTTCCCCCCGCCTGCGCCTGTTCTCTGGCGAGCGCATCGCGCCGACTTTAAAGTACTCGTGCAATTTTTGGCAGCGCAAAAAAGTAATTACTGACATCGATACCGCACTACGTCTACAAATTCGAAACGGTTGAAAAGACCTAATGCAGAATGAGGTGATAATGCGGATTTGATTATTAAAATGCGAGATGCTGATTAATACATTGTGACTATTGACTGCTGGCGAGTTATCAAACGCATAATATCGTTCTGATACTAATATGAGGTATTCGCTAAGTAAATGTTTGTTTCATTTTTACATGAGTCGTTTCATTTCAATAATATTTGTCGTAAAGGAGAATTCTACATATTTTTTTAAATATTTCAATACCTTTACGTTCATTTATATGATACTACATTCTACACACTGCTTTTTGAGTTAATGCAGTTATTGAGTGTGTAGATAACTGATACGTTGTGAATGTCGTCGTAGTGAAAATTCGATGTTTGCGGTGTCGATGCAGTAGAATGTGATTGTGACAAGTTATGGATATTTTTAAAGTTTTTCAGAAGTGTCTCATACACCTACATCTCATCATTTCACCTTTCGTTTACAACACTTTTTGTCACATTTCCTTCCCTTTTTCACAATTATGTGTAGTACCTTTCCTTATGATCCACTCTGCATTGTATCATATTATCACGATCTTCCTTCTTCTGTGTCCATTTTTTCGTCTCTTAACAATTTCTCACCATTGTCATATTGTCATGTTGCTTGAAGGAACTGTGAGTAGTGCATTCAAGTGTTTTGAGGAAACACTAAAACTTCTAAACATTGCATATACATCGTCATATGAACATCTCTGAATCAGAAGATGAAGCAACTTTGTTTCAACGAATGCTGTTGCTAAAAACACCATTTGGGGCTCATTGTTTCAAATCCTAATTATTTTGAATTTACTTCATGCCTTATGTGTGTAAGGAATCAAATTAGAGACATTGGCCCATATAAAAATTAGAGGAGCGAGCAGGTGCGGAACAGTGGACTGTGTATGATGTGGTAGCTTGCTCCGCCACACATCTTGACAATAGTGTCAGATTTCGAACAGATTACTGTCTTTTTCTCGGGAGAGGGACGCTTTTAATGACCTGAAACGGACTTATAATCTCGTATCAGGGAGGTATATAAAAAATATGATATCGTTTTAACTCAAATGTAATCAAATTAAAATACTCATTTACAAGATTGAAAGGAACTGTTAACGTATGATTCAGTAAAATGTTAATTATTCATACAAGACAGGACATAATATGTTTGAATTAACAGAACTATAACGGCAGTTATAATATTTGTAATATTGAAGGGAGTAAGCAGAACATTTAAATTAGCTGAATGCTATTGATAACTCAACTGAAGGTTGGCATTGTGTGGTGCTAAAACACAAAGAAAATTCACTGGTTGATACCAAGACGTGAACAAGGTACTGGATGAGCTCCGACGTCCGGCATTGGAGGTGGGCGATATTTGCAGAACACCGGAGTTGTTACACCACCGAACCAACAGCTGGAGATTAAGTCAGGCACATAACACATAATTGGCATCGAATCCGAATGATTGTCGCAAGACAACAGTTAGTCTGTCATGACGCAATACAGATTTTAGCATGAGCTAGGAGTTGATAACACCGCACTATTCACTTATACACTGTACGTGAACTGGCAACCAAACATTGTCAAGAAGTTACTCTTTATTTAAAAGACAACATAATTTACAGTTCGATGTCACGTATATATTAAGTTTCGTTAATAATTACATAAAAATATATACATACAGTTTTCAGGCCACATGCACATTGCCAAAGGATGAACAGTCCAGTGCAGAAAGTTACATATAACGTAATACCGTGTTTAAGACCATTGGCTGCTTAAACACCCAAAGCCGTTTATGGCAAAGAGTACCATATTAACACGATGCCAGTGTCGTAGACACGCAGATAAAAAATAAGTGAGCAAGAGAGAGGCATAGACAGATTCTTCTCTCACCAAAGTGAATGCTCGACTGAATAATGTTTTTTAAGTCAACTAGGCTTCTATACACACGAAGCAGTTCATAGCAAAGAGTAGCATATTAACACGACACCAGTGTCGTAGACAGACATAATAAAAAGAATGAGTGAGCAAAAGAGAGGCGCAGACACCTCCATCACTCCCAAAAACTGAAGCTCAACTGAATATAGGCCGTTGGCGGCGCGGAACACTGACGGGTCAGAAAGGGCAATTCAGGGAAACAGATATGGGAACGGCAGTTTCCATTGCACGCTCTGAATAGGAACGTTATTAGAAGATATTTTGGATGATGGAACCTGCATCATGGGTAACTCGCCGTGTTCTCGGAAAATAAAACGAGAAAATGACTTCGGGTCAAATTGACCCGACCGCAGTAGTTAAGGGTTAAAGGTAAAGTGATAAATAAAAACATCTTATTTACTTTTGGTAATGCTGTAGGGTCGTAGCGCTATCAGAAAAGCTGGGAGATTTCTTTAGAGATCTAGTCGGGAAACAGGGTTTCGTCATCAAAAAAAAAGATTTCACGATCAAATACGTACTTGGGAAGGACATCCAAAGCGTGAATCACGACTACATTACGTATGCGAGAAAGTAATTTTCTACTGATAGGAGCAAGAAAAATCCTCTTTTTTTATATCAGGAACTCACAATAGGACCTCGTGTTTTCTCTGGAAAAAACGACATTTTTATTGCTGAGTTATTCTTTTACTACGTAGTAGATAAGTGAAAGTAAAACATGTATTTTTTCCTTAATGTCATGCGGAGAATTGTTTGACGACGTTCATAATCTATATGGAGACTTGCAGGTAAGGTGGGGATAAATCTTGCCGCGCAATATCCGTCTTCCAGGAAGCAAGAACTGTGAATTCTGCTAATTAAATCTACTAAAGGAGCCTCAAATATTAGTTCCTGCACAAAGGCTTACGTTGCGGGCTCAGGGTCGACCAAATATCTTCTTATTCACAAGACAGCATACAGAATATATTGATGTAACAAATCCATTAGGAAGAGTGGATTTCTACAGTGAATATATTTATGTTCGGCAAAGAAACACATGAAAATTATAAACACAAGCCTAAACAAAATTCGACATGTCAATACGACGACATTAAAAGTTTTAATTGTTGAGTAGTTCTGTAAAGACGCAAGATATATCTCGTTTAAAAAGGATTTCAAGCTGTCGTCATACCAACATCGCTTTTAAGAAACGGTTTCATTCTATTACTTCAGTTTTATTGCTTCAATCATTTAATCAATTACCATCTCCATTTTATGTTTACTTGATGACGCACAGCTCTTCGACATCGTGGATCTCCCATGCTCATGGGAGTCTTTCTCTACCACTGAAAATATCTCTTCACTGAAAATAAACGGTGTTAAGGTAACAGAATTTTTAGGTCTTTCAATTCAGTCAACCCTTAAATGAAACGTCCATTTATATGAATTGAACACTAAATTAAGTTCTTTATGCTGCGCTTTCAGATTTCTTTCAAATTCAGTCAGATTCCACATGGAATGGGATTGAAGCCACCACGCGTGAGATACGGCATAATATTCGGGAGAAATACATCCTATAGCTCCCAAACTTTTAGATTACAAAAAAGAATTGTACGAATAATAAACAAATCCCACCCACGTTATTCTTGTAACCCTCTCTTTATTAATCTAGGTATTTTACCGTTACCTGTCTCTTCATATACGAATCAGTGGTTTTTGTCAAAAATGACTTACTTAAGGCGGGAATATAATTACAGCAAACGCTCTTGTCTATAACTACAATACTCGACGTAGTATTCATATTCATCAGGAGACAGCTGTTTTTTTAATCGCGAAACACCACCGTGACTTTGTATTTTTATGTTTTTGGGTGTTATTGTCAGACCCAAAGACTTGACTCATGTTGCTCTATATATCTTGACGCGCATAATTCAATTCTGAAACCAGAATTCCACCACCACACTCCAGTTTTTTAAATCGTGATAAAACAACGTGAAATTGTAAATTTCATCGTTTTTTCGCAATTTAAAAAAAATCTTAGGTTTTGTGGCAATTGTGGCTTCAGATTCGGATTCAGCGCTTTGACATACATATAGAAGCATTAGTCAAGTCACAACCTCCGAAAACAAAAAGAAATACACTAACACGGTGTTTTTCGCGAATAGAAAAATCGGAGGGTGGTGGCGCAATTCTAGCTTCAAAATTCGGATTCAGCGCGTTGACATGGATAAACATGTGTCAAGTCATTGGGTCTTTTTTATTTTATTTATTTACAACTTTTTGTATATGCCTGTGTTATTGGTTTGGCACGAACTATTTTTTTTATTATATAACATTGTATTAAATATTGTGTTTGAATGTTAAATTGGTCTTCTCAAAAACGGTATATGTTAGAAGAATGGAAGTGGAATTACAGATCTGGTTACGATAAATAGGAGGATATTGCTTTGTGTTATGAAATATACCATTTTTTAAATCATTATTGAATCATAAATATTTAAATAATAATTACCATTTAAAAACGTAATTATCGAGTGAACCTTTTCCTCCCATTTCCGTATCATCTTTGGAACACTGTACGCCCGACGTCACGTCCGGCTCTGCCTTTGCTCCGTGTCTCAGTTCCGAGCAGAAGAGCAGATTTTTGTGACGTCACAGAGCATTGAGTTAGCAAGCCCATATCTAGACGTTACACAGACTTTAAAAAATTAAAGAAATTATAATTGTGATTAAAGTGGCATGCTGAAAAGTAATTGAATGAGCTCTAAATCATATGAATCCAGTACCGAAGTTGAAAGTGAAAGAATGTTTTAGTTTTCAATAAATGTTTTTATGGAGAAAAGGCTGATATATTTAATAAGAAAATCTCACAGATTAATCATATTTTGGACAGTATATATTTTCAGAGTGTGCTCAATCTGTACTAAATGAGTCGTCATTTCACGAAAATATCGTTCAACAACGTAAGTAATTACGAAGTCGGACATCTACAGGAATTGTTACAAAATTATATTGGTAAGAAGTCTGGATACTTTTCAAACGTATAGAAAACTTTCCAAAATAATGTGTTGAGCGTGGGCCTGCCTAGAGCATAAAGAGAAATTTTACAAAATGGTGCCCAACGTGAGGCGGCGTATAGCAAGTACGAGCAGTATCCATATCACGAAAGCATTTTAGTACACATGATTTGTAATCAATATAATAGAATTAAGAACAGATGAATATATGTCTAACTTAATGTTTTGAGAGTGTTAGATTAATTTAATGGAAGCATTTTAAATTGATTATTTGTTACATGTTTGCGAAGGTACGCAATCAACAAGATCGATTGAAAGCAGGTACTACTTACAAAATATGCACTGTGTTAATGTGAATTGTAATGCAAAAAGTTTCTTATTGAAACGTTTCTCCGTGATGAATTAAAACACACGTAATATGTGACGTTTGAAACGTCACAAAGACGTTTATTTCGTTTCTTAACGATACACTGAAAATACTTGATTTATTTACAGATAGGATACACAGTCCTTGTGTTCTTCACTTGATTATTTTCCTTACACACGACTGTTCTCTTGATTATTTATTTCAACAGTTCACTTATTCTGATTATTTATTTACACTTCACTTCTTCTTCACTATCGCACAGTCCGATGCACTGTCCACGGTACACTGCGCAGACCACAATTCACTGCGCAGATCACAATTCACTGAGCAGACCACACTTCACTGCGCACACCACACTTCACTGCGCTGACCAGGGTCCTGTCTGCACTGCTGTTCACCGCGATGCACACTTAACAGCTCAGCTTCCAACCTCGGACAGTCTACTGCATACTCACACTGACTGCTTACTCTCTGACTACATATAATGACTGACCAGCGGCTGCTTACTGTCTGACTACTACTACGTCCAGCGGCCGCCGGTAGCGGCAAATTTATATCTGGCCGGCGCCCGTCTCGATACATTCGGCACTTTCTCCACATTTCTACGCGACTCGCGAATAGCCCGGAACCGTCTTGTTCGGGGGGTGCCGGCAGATGACGCAATCCGCGCAGCGAATTCCGACAGGTGATGCAATATTGGCCACAATATATTTAATACAACCAGTAGACTGTTCTTTACCAAAATAAAGGTATCATCTGAAACTGACTTGAAAATAAGGAGCAAAATTGTAGCATGGATTCACAATTATTCAATAGGCAGTACTATAACTGTAACGTTCAAATTAAGTGAAACATCTGTCGACACAAAAATAGTAATGTTCCAGTCGTTAAATTATCACATTGGATTAATGCTGAAATAAACGAAACTCTTCACAGGTTTTTATACAATCTCGATCTTGTAATTTCTTAGTTTCGTTAAAATTTAAGCAATCTCTTAAAATTTCTAATTTTCTAGTTCTTTTTTATAGTAAACAACGTTAAAATATAACTTTCAATTACACTTAAACAAATAAAGGCATTTAAGGAAACGAAATAGAATTAATTCACTAAATGGATGTATTAAACACGAAAATGAAACAGAACCATGTATGTCTGTCAAGTAAGATGGCGTCAACAAGTTCCAAAAGATGCTTTTGTTTTTTCGGAGTTAGTCATGGAAATTTGTTGATACGTTATGATGTTTAGAAATAAAGTATTAAGTACGTTTGTTTTTACACAGTGTTATAATTCCTTGTGTAATCCAACAAGTGCTTTTCCGTGAAATGCTTTTTTGATGACGACAGTATTAAATTATTTTTCATTAACTACGTTTAAATAATTAACAGGTTTCTATTAAGGCTAAAAAATCGTATTCTTAAAAAATCACCATTACATTCTGCTCTTCTGTT